ATTACATAATTCAGAATGTAATCATACAATGGAATCTATGCAGTCATTAAAAACTGTACTTCTTGACATGTGAAATATTCAAAATTAATTAGTAAAAAAAAAATCTACAAAATAGTAAGATGGCATTTTTATTTAAACATAAAGAATATATATCAAAATATTTACAGAAGTATTTTTCATGATGTGCCAGAACAGTGAAGATTGTTTTCGTTCTTTCCTTTGTATTTGTCTATATGTTTTCTTAGTCTTCTGTATTGAGAATATAAAATTACAGCACTTGTAATTATAAAAAAAGTAACACATTAAAAAATATTACCTTCACTAGGATTATGCCAGTATTTAGAGAACTCTCTTTTCTAAATAACTCCATTGCTTTGACTGAAGGCAGATGTGCCAAAGGACAATATTTTATCAGTGAATATATGTTTGAAAAATTCCTGATGCAGGTTTTCCCAAAATGTTTTATTTTTCACCATGTATCTGGAACCACATCAGATATTTTGTGAGGTTATTTTGGGTAGTATATGCTAAGGGAAAATTTAAGAAAAAAATCTTATCTGAGAAGTCCCTAACAGAATTTCTCTTTTTATAAATTCTGTGAAAATCCAAGCATTTTTTTATAAGCAGACGTCAACTGGCATAATGAAATGCTGATCTGATAATCCTGTGTATAAAAAATTAACCTAAGAAAGTTAAGCGTTTTTCATGCTCAGAAATGATTTTTCATAACTTTCGATTATGTTCTGTTTTATAGTTTTATTCAGAAGATAATGTATTTGAATTTTATTCTAAACATTTTGCAAAGCCTTATTAGAGGGCAAGGAAGGAGATTAAAAAGGTCAGCTAGAATGAGGTAAAATTATTCAATTTATAAAACTGTGCTACACATGCTATAAATTATCGGCAAGGACATCTGAGCCAATAAAGTTTAATAAATAATATTTACAAAAATCATACTTTTTTTATTAATTCCCAGTTAACTCCAAATTCATAAATAAACAATGATCTAGCAGTTTAATTCAATTCAAACCTTTACTGACAACTATTTTGGGGACCTTGGATATTAAAACATAACAATAAAAGAAAATCCCTGCTCAGAAAGTTTATAAAATGATGAGGCAAGTCTACCACATAAAAAACATCATGAAGTTTGCTATATGATTATCCACTTTCATTTTTTGCTTAAATTCAAGCTCAGAGAGAAAAGTATCTACTTTACTGGGGATCAGCTACCCACAGATATTTGGGTAATACCCATAAGGTTTTCAACTGAGAGAACAGAAAGAGATTAGAAAAGAACAGTTTAACATGGATTCCCTAATTACCACAAGGACTAAGAGCTCATGACTATTACCTCAAAAAACTTGAGAACTGAACTGGGTACCTATGAGACCATCTTTCATGGAAAATTCAAATCCATTCTTGAAGCTTAGTAGCAATACATGAAAATATTTGTTTAAAACACAAAATGTCTTAACATTTAACTTTGAAAACTAACATACACAACTTCTCTTTTCCTTTTTTTTTTCCTTTTTTGTCTTTTTTCGTGACCGGTAACGGGATCGCAACCCTCAGTGTTGCGCCTGCACCGCGACCGGCAACGGGATCGCAACCCTCGGTGTCGCGCCTGCACCACGCTCAACCAGTGAGCGGACCGGTCTCTATATGGGATCCGAACCCTCGGCGGGAGTGCCGCCGCGCTCCCAAGTGCCGCACTCTACCGAGTGCGCCACCGGGCCGGCCCATCTTTTCTAATTTATAATTCAGATCAGGAAAACTGGGACAGTTACATCAGCATTAGTTGTGAATTTTTATTTCAATGAGACCTCATATATAATTCAACATTTAAGGAATAGATATTAGCAATAATAGGACCAAAAAGATTTAGAGCTATATTAAACACTCACAAAAGAAACCCCCACAATGTTTATTAACCTCCATGCAGTAAGATTTAAAGCTATACTAAATATATACACATACACACTCACAAAAAAGTGTCTATTAACTTCCATGCAATGTATACCTTCAGGACAATAAATAGGTGGTAAACTGATATTCAGTCTATCCTGGGTATCCATGCTCCAGAATGCAAAAAGGACTTAGAAACTAAACATCTCAAAGTGCCCTGAAATGCTTGGGAACACTTTTGTTTCCATTATCCCATGTCATTGCCAAAACATCTTATAGACAGTGATCATGGAACTACAGTAAGGTGATGACTATGTTCCTTAAGTACAAATGCAAGATGATAAGATAACATGTAAATGACAAGAGTGTTTTGTTTCAGAGTTGGCCTACTACTATAAATTGGCCATGAACCAATTAGTAACAAATAAACCCAAATAAAAATAAAGTCTTAAACCATCAATAACAAACTGACAGTTTCTAACAAAATCTATTAAGTAGGTAGCATAAACCCATATTAGCAGAAAATTGAATCATGAGGATTGACAAAAAGTGGTACAAACAAGCTCTAGACTGCTGTGGGTTTAATTGTATCCCCCAACATCCATGTGTTAGAAATTTAATCCCCACTGTGACAGTGTTAAGAGGGTAGGGAATCCTATTATGGTAATTGAAAGGTGGGGTCTTGAAGAGATGATTAGATTATGAAGACCATGCCCAAGTATATGCATTAACTGATTGATGGTTTACTGGTGGTCATGAGCATGATTCTGATGGCTTTAAAAGGAGGGCCCATAAGAAGCTTGCTCTCTCTCTCTCTCTCTCTCTCTCTCTCGTTCCGCCATCCGCCATGGGACACCCTGAGTCGCTGAACAGAGTCACCAAGAAAAAAGCCCTCACCAGATGTGTTCCCTGGACTTTGGACTTCCCAGCCTCTGAAACCGTAAGAAATAAATATTGTTTCTTTACAAACTACCCAGTTTCAGGTATTCTGTTATAAGCAATACAAAGAGACTAATACACAGACTTAAAGGCTTATAAGGTATTATGGCAGGCATGAATATGGACTCTTCGCAGATGTTCACTTAGCTTCCTCCACAATTTCATTTGTATCATGAATGAATGAATTAAAATTAATAACAAAATAAATCATCACAAAATTCTAAAATATAATCAGTAAAGAAATAATGATTCTAATGAGCTAAATATATATGACAAATAGAACAGCACTATGCCCAAAGAACTGTAGTGTGGTGAGTTCAAGTACCTCAAATGAAAGCCTATAGATAGAAAAAATGCTGATGGTTGCACTAGAACAGGGTCAGGAAACTATGGCCCACTCTCTGTTTTTCTAAGGCCCATGAGTTAAGAATTTTTACAGATATGCAAATCAATTTGATGATAGGAAATACTAACTTTGAACCCCAATTAAGAGAAATGCTATACCCCCCAAAAAGAACTCTATTCTTCTGATTAGTTAGTAGGCATGTATTACAAAAAAATTGTACTCAATTATTATATTCTGGATTTCATCAATAAAACATTTGTGAAAATGTGTTTTTAAGTACCTATATGACATCCCTAATTTTGCCTTTTGGTCCACAAAGCCTAAAATATTTTATCTAGCCCTTTACAGAAAAAGTTTTCCAATCGCTCTGTATTAGAGCATTAATTCAAATAATGGGGAGTATGCAAGCTTTTAGGAAACAAAGAAAGCCAACTATTTGAACTTAGCTCTGGGTACATAAATCAGAAAGGAATTAGTTCTGTCAACAAAACAAAGGTTAAAGCTTCAACCTGAAACTAAAAGATGGTTACCAAAAAAAGACTGCAAATATAGTGGTCTCAGCTGAAAAACTTTAGAAATTAGATAGACAGTAAGGAAGATCACTGATCACACACTAGTCTTTTCAAACACTTGAACACACTGAAATATAGGAAAATTGCCTTTGATCAAAAGAAAACATATTTTTATGGAACGAAGTTCAAGGATTTTAAAATAACTTGATCACAGTCCTGTGTTCAACTAGTGGAGGATACTGAGGAGTTACGGCTCAGCCTAGTAAAAACTAAACTCACACTGTCCAAAGACAGAATGGGCTGCATCCGAAAGTAGCAATCTAATGCTGGAAGTATTCAAGAATACACTGGAAAACCACCTCGCAGGAAGGTAACTAAAAGGTTTTTTTCACTGGACGGAGAATGGGACTACATGACCTCTAAGGAGATTTTCAATTTTACAATTCTATGCAAAATTCTAGGAAATCACGAATAAAGCCCAAAAGACAGCAGGTGCTGCTGCTCTGGCCAAACTGAAACTTTAGAATGAACCACTCTAGTGCTGTAAATATAGACACTAGAATTTTGATAAGGTGTGCAGACTTCCTTTGAGATCTCAAATATTAAAAACGTTAAAAAATTACATTTAAGGACTCAGTTAAAATCTAAGCTCTACTGTTCTTAAAACATAAATTCTAAGATAATATTTTGAATCTGCTATTGTTAATAAAGGTGTTGACAGACCCAATAAATAAAATATTAAGTCATAAATCAAAATTCTGCTTCTATTAGTGGTCTAGCCATACATGCAGTCATTCATTCTTTCATTTATAAATATTTATATATTGAATAAATACAATTATTTCCTATGTGCTCCAGAGAGTATTAGGAAAAGAGAGCAAAAAGAAAGTTTCTTTCATTCAGTTTACCTACATTTTAGAAAATTATAGTCTAATTTTCCTTTTTAGTACTTTTAACTTTCCTGCATCTGATATACAAAATAGTTTTTCTAGGATCACACAAAAGAAGAGTAACTCAATTAGGAATCAAAAGGCTGGGTGAGTACTTACTAGGGTACTTTGAAAAGATTCATATTATCTTTTAATTCTATTTTTCCATGAACTTTTTGAGGTACCCTCATATACCTGCTCTATAGCTGAACTTTTGATGCGACCTTGGACCATTTTCTCCATTTTTTAAGTTTCGTGCACATGTGTGCGTTCGTGCGTGTGTGAGAGAGTGCGAGAGAGAAATGTACATATTAAAACAGCACCGAAATTCCTTCCAGTTCAAAAATTCTGATTCAACCTTCTCACCTTGATTATTTCCACCAACTGATCCACACCACTGTCCCCTGGAAATATTGGTTGTCCTAGTAACAGCTCAGCCAACACACAGCCTGCAGACCATACATCTGAAGAGAAAAGAAAACAAAGGCTTATTAATACTTTGTAGCTTGAGTTGAAAATGTTTGTATACATTTTCTTTTTTTTTTTTCGTGACCAGCAACGGATCGCAACCCTCAGTGTCGCACCCGTACCGGACCGGGACCGGCCACGGGATCGCAACCCTTGGTGTTGCCCCCGCCCCTCGCTCAGCCAGTGAGCGGGAACCAGTCTGTATGTGGGATCCGAACCCTCGGCGGGAGCGCCACCGCGCTTCCCAAGCGGCGGCGCACTACAGCAGTGCGCCACCGAGCTGGCCCATACATTTTCTAATTCTATTTTGATCTCAGAGTAAATATCACAAGTACAAGACTGTATAATACAAAACAGAGAAAAAAGTCATAAAACTTCCCTAATGTATTTTTAAATTAAGCATTAAACTTACTAAAAAGAAAGTGCCAATACGAATATTCCAATAAAGTGTAAAGTCTATTATTATCAAACATCAGGTATTCAAGTCTTCAAATAACAAGACAGAGGATTATAGTACCAAAGCTACAGCATAACTATCTACTTATCATACTTGAAAATATGTCAAAGTGACAGAATCTCTGCACATTAGTAGGTGCCTACAGATGAGCAGCAAGCAAAGGTTCAATCTCTCATAGACACTGAATTTTAAGCCAATGCAAACTCTGAGGAAAATTTTTAAGACTTCAAATGGTTGACTTTTATGCTATAAGATGACTGAGAAAAATGTGCATAAATATAATGTCATTTTTAAGTGCAAAGAAATGGCAAAGATAGAAAACTACATTTTATTTCATAAATTATAAAAATCATTCACTTATAAGTCAAAGCAGAAACCTCAATCCTGAGAGACAACTTTGAAAAATAATTTAATACATTTTAATAACTTAATAAATAAATTTAATTAATAAACTTTAAAAATAATTTAAAGCATACATGCTGACTTACCCAGGATTTACACCCTACTTTATATCTATTTTCCATGGATAATTAGTAATAGCACCCTTTTTCTCTCTCAAAAGTATTACCAGATTAGGAGATAAATTATACGGTCAACCCTATTTAAAGCCCACTATTAAGACTTCCTGCAAGGAAAAGCTGCTTTTCAGTTTCCAGATTTCTGAGATTCCTAGGTTTTTTATGTAGCAATACTCAAGTGCTTTAGGGAGATGAACATAAATCATTGCTGGGCTTTCCCATTGTCAGTAGGGAAGAAGAAAAACAGTGAATGGCATGCAGACAGGAGGTCTGATATGGTAAAATGTACTATCAAAAAGGACTGGAAATCCTTGCTCCACTGACTAATTTTTACTGACCTAGAAAAAATGTGTCATTTACACGGAATTAATTTAAGAAACTCAAGTTGTTTTATCCAGTTCCAAGTGGTGATAACCAAGATACTCATTCTGCAAACATACACCAAGAGAGTCCTACTTGATATAATGGGAAATTGCTAAATGAAGCAAATATGAAAACCTGCTAGGGAATTCTTACTTCACTCAAAGCCAATAGTAATATTAACTCTTATAGTTAAGTGGCAATGATGTATCTCCTTATTAATGTAAATGCTTTATTTTGATCTAAGTTTAAAAATATCTCTTTTCCTAGCTAATTAGACAGAAAAGTAATATGCACTCATTTCTTCATAATACAGAACAATTCATCTCAAAGGACAAGGTTGGAAAAATTGCAGGGGAATAACTATGCCTTCATAAAAAAAAAAAAAACTACAACAGGAAATACTTTCTTAGGCAGGATTCAGCTACAAATATGGAAAACAAGGAGCAAAACACCAAGGAATCTTATTGTCTAGTGGTTATCAAAGATTAATAATCAAAAGATTTAGGTGACAACTATAACAGTGGTCTTCAATTCATGTTAAATCAGTCAAATTACTAAGAACGAGGTATTTATCATTCACTTTCTGGGAGATACCGAAATCTCATCTGTTCTTACTTCACAGACCAAATGAATGAAATTCTCCAAATAGAAGAAAACGACTAAACAGAAGGTAGGACAAAAAAAAAAACCGCTTCGGCCAATTGAATTTTAGTTACTTAGGATTCGACTAAACAGAAGGTAGGACAAAAAAAAAAACCGCTTCGGCCAATTGAATTTTAGTTACTTGGGATTTAAGCCAAAATAGCATTCTATTTCATACTTAACTCTAATTCATGGTAAAGTAATCTTTCAAGGCCATTTATTTTGCACACTTACTTCACAGATAAATTCGGTATGATAAAGCTAAATGACCTGTCCAAGGTAAAGCTACTGAACCCATTCTCAATTCCCAATCAAGACACCACTGTCCTGAATAACTATCTTACTGTCACAGAATAACAGCTTCTTCGAAGGCCTGTAAGCTCAATTCCTTAGCTTTTTATTCTTAGGTTTTTGGTCCTATTTTGCCATTTCTTGATAAGGCAATACAATCATAGCCATCAGCTCTGGTTATATACAAATATGACACCTAGTCAGAACCTGCTACTCTTTCATTTCAAACATTATTGTTAAAAACGTTTTTTAAATGTACCTGTATTAGCACACTCCAAGTACCTTTTTTTTGGTCTGTTTACAAATCTTACAGAGCCTTAAGAGGCAAATATACCACGTCTAAAAAGGGAGGCTCAACAGGGCTCAAAAGGCCCCAGTTTATATAAATGCTCCTCAATGTGTCAGATGATAAGGATATGACATTTTTAGAAGAATCAAACTGCCTTTATTTTAGGTGACTCTGATACAACTCACCCTAGTATCTTGTATATAGATAATCAGTATCATATTTATGAATAAAATATAAAGCAGTTGGAAAATCCAATTACATCCCCAAAGACAAAGGGCTGAAATTTGCACTTGAAGAGAGTCAAATTAACGAATACTGCAAAAAGAATGCCACCGTACATATTTATAGTACGTTTCACCAATATTTTTTCGAGTCCTCACTGCCACTCAGAAAAGTAGGCAGAACTGTTAGTAACTCCACTTTAAAGCTCAGCTTAGTAGGAATAAATACAGAACTCAAATCTAGGTCGACTCCAAGCAAAATATTCCTTGTATTATTTCTCATCTATCCATTAACATATACCACATAACACAGGATGAGATTCTGAGCATTACATAAACACACACATTATTATACTCTCTGTCTTCTAGTGCAGCAGGTCTCAAAGTGTGGTCTGCAGAGCCCTGGGTCCTCTGGACATTTTCAGAGGTACTGGAGGGCAAAAATATTTTCATAAGAATACGCCTTTTTCATTGGGTTGAAATTTGCACTACAAAAGAAATGGTGGGTAAAATTGCTGGCTCCTTGGCATAAATCACAATGAGCTTTGGCATTTTGCCCTTTGCCAAAATAAAAATGGTAACGTGTTTCTGTTTAGGAGTAACTGTTCACATCAGTGAATTTCTATTTGTAACAACAACAACAACAAAAAAAAAAACCCCAAAACTGTCCCAAATTCTGGTTGCTTTGTTATCTGCATGCTTTTGTTCTGTTTCTGAACTAAGAAATTCTCTTCAGAAACAATATATGAGTAAAATAATTTCGGCCTCCACCTGCATACCTAGCCTAAGGTTGCTCCTCAGGTTTCTTAGCTTCCTATTAAAGTCCAGCTGATCATGCTCTCTCTTCACTCCTAGCTAGTGAGCTTTATAAAATGGGGGTAGAAAAGGAGGTCAATGAAGATTGAAGCTAATTATCTCTATTCAATTCCTTCTATTACTAAACATCTCTGGTGAAGAATTCTACAGAATCAGTGGGTTTAGCCAAACTACCTTACTTAAGCTGACTTAAAATTAAATAACCAATTGAGACAGCATGGTAGGAATGTCAATAATATGGTCATCATATTGCTTTCATTATTACATAATAAAATAACATTATTAATTAACAAATTCTCCAATTGGTAACCAAGCTCAGAAGTGGGTATTTCAGGAGAATTTAAAAAGAGAAAGTGAAGAAAGAGTATACTTCGGATTTACTAAAAACTTTAAGGTAAAAACAAATGTCTTACTCAAATGTAAAGGAATAGCTTTATAATTCTAATAGTCCAAGAAAACTAAAAAGAGAATAGTAAGTATATCTTAAATTCCAAAAGGTGAAATTTTTAAAATTCTATACATTTTTGCATCTCAATCTTTTAAGAAAGAACATTGTAGAGCACACTCATCTTTCTATGGAAGTGAAAGTATAGATCAGTACCACCAAATTACTAAACTCAAGATGTAATTAATTACAAGCATTTTATTCAGATTCAGTACTTACCTATACTAGAGGTATAATCAGTGGCTCCAAAGATCAACTCTGGTGCCCTATAGTACCGAGAACAGATATACGAAACATTGGGTTCTCCTCGGACCAGCTGCTTTGCACTGTTAACCAAAAAAAAAAAGGGCAGAAATTCTTTAAATCTAAACCTTAAAAGAACCTAAACTGCTATCAGTAACAATACCAAGATTGTCTAACATTCACATCATTCCAATCACACAACATACAAAAAAGAAAATATGAACAATAACTATCTCCAACAGAAAAATTACGGGCCGGCCCGGTGGCGCACTGGATAGTGCGCCGCTTGGGAAGCGCGGCGGCGCTCCCGCCCGAGGGTTCGGATCCCACATACAGACTGGTTCCCGCTCACTGGCTGAGAGAGGCACGGGAGCAACACCGAGGGTTGCGGTCCCGTTGCCGGTCCCGGTCCGGTGCGGAGGCGACACTGAGGGTTGTGATCCGTTGCCGGACACGGAAAAAGACAAAAGAAAAAAAAAAAGAAAAAGAAAAATTACAATTTTACCACAGAGCTCTGCAAAAAATCCTGGTAATTTTTAAAGAAAGAATTTGTCAACTGTCACCTAAGGAAAAAGATATAAAAAAATCACAAATGGATAAATGTTAAACTTCTGCTGATCCTTTGTTCCCCAAATTCCACCTCTAAAATACAAAGAAGAAAGGACAAAAAAGTAAGAGGTACTGCCCCCCACCAAAAAGCATATTCGATTATAAGAATGAATACTCCTCGCTCAATACATTTCTTTAAAAGGGTGACAAATTGGCTACTGTTTTACAGTTTGACTCTGACTCAGGGTGAATATCTCAAGGCTTACAGACCCAATCTATTTTATATTTCACATTTTAGTCAATTTATTAACTGTCTAAATATTCATTACCCAATAAACTGCAAAAAGACAGGCTTTCAGCTTTAGGGCAGAAATGATCCACAGCTGATAAATTCTAACTCTGCTGTGGTGAGTTTAATCACATGTTCTTTTATTCCAATTTTCTTTCTGAAATACTTTGTAGCATATATTTTAAACATCAAAGTAAATTATAATTAATTTTTTGAGATGTTTTCTTGGATAATTGGAAGACACATGAAATAAACTGCTGCAGAAGCTGATCTTTTTGACATATAATAATGACAAAGGTAAACACAGGAAATAAGTACAAGCAACAAAATCAAAATAGTAAAAAAAGTGAAAAAGTAAGAAAATTTTGAGTTAAAGGTACAGGAAAGCCAGAGTAAAACAGATGAAAGTAGTCACAAGCATTTCAAAGTCTGGGCTTTCTTTTCTTCCACTTATATCTAGTCAATATGACTCCAACTTTAGCTTGTTTTTCCTTTATCACCAGTTAACTCTCTCCTCAAGTACTGACATACAACAACAATTTCAAAAATTAATAAATATTAATCCCTGTTTTCAGGCTGCATGTAAATTAAGATACTTAGTTTTAAGCATAATTGGTAAAAGACCTTTCTACCTTCTAAAGGACATTTTTCAATAAAGATAGATTCCAATTACAGTCAGAAAATTCACTAAAAGACAAAATGGTAAAACTGGACGCTTTGCAGCCTGTAGGTTTTTTCACTACTTCATGGAGCTGCTTCTTTCTCTTACATGTGGGGCTGGTTGTAACTCCCTGCACAATATAGTGGTCACATATACCTCTGGTCCTTAGACAGCCCTACTAACCCTTCAGCTACTTCCAGGCCCTATTTCATCCAACAAAGAATTACTAAGAAGAGAGTAACACTGTTTTGTTCAAGTAACCACTGACACTACTTGCCCAAACCAATTTTATTAAAAACAAAAAGGCAGCTTTGTTATCAGAAGGTTTGTAAAAAGGAGCTATTACCATGCAAGTGAAATCCTATTCCTAATTTATTAGAACAAAGCTATTTTATGTCCTAAGAGAATGGCCAGTGCCAACAATGTTTTGACACTATAGTGAGAAGAGAAACTCTACTAAATTTGGTGTCTCATAGTTTTTTTTATAACAGTCTATACCAGTCAGTCACTCTCGGTGGGAAAGATACCCCATAACAATAAAACTCATCTAATTTGGGCAGTTTTTCCTATAGATAATAAGTAGTAGTGCTTTGTTTTAAGTACCAAATAAGAATTTTGATTTAATATCTTTCACTTTTTCTTATGGTTCAAGGAACAAAGTCATAACCTACAAAATGAGTTGGATCCTGTGATAGCTGTTGGAAATTAGGAAACAGTATAATGGGGATGGTATGAAAAAGGACACACTTTTGAGACTAAAAAGAATTACTATCAAGAGACAGCCTGTTGAAAATATGTCCTATGTTAAACTCAGAATTTAAACTGTGGATTGATGTAAAAGTATTACAAAGAGGTAGGAATACAGATATCAGCAGGTGTGGGTCAACATGTAATCTACAGATGTAAGTTGAAAAATAAGAATTTGTGACAAGGATGAAAATAATTAAATTGGAGAGAATCCAAGTTATGTGGAAATGTCTTAGGAATAGAGAGGAGACGTATTACTCCAGGTGATTACACTAGAGAGGAAATAGTAGAGTAACTGCATGAGTTACATGGGAATATACGCTTGACTGCATGTTGAAATGTCAGATCAGACAGGCACAAGATGCTGTAAACTATGGAAGTAGAAAGGATGACATATTATTACAAACCCACAGTCTGTGACCAAGGAACTAGTTTAAGAAAGCAGAAAGTCTGTTAGAATTTGCAGAAAAGAAGGGAAAATAAAAGATTAAATTATAGAGAAAAAGGAAACACTGCAACTAAATCTTTTATCTCATCTCTAAATTTTGAAATTAATCTTGAAGTAAAAAGGATAATGTATAATTTTTTAAAAATTAGTTCTCACTGAAAAAAGAGTACATACACATAATATACATTTAAACAATACTAAAGTACAATCAATGAAAAAGTGAATTTCCCAACTACACTATATTTTCAAAGTTTCCCTTCTCAGGGACAATTAATGTGACGATTATGTATCAGTCCAGGAACAAGCCATACACAGACAAGCATAGATTTGAATATATATAGTCACACTCTGTGGTTTTTAAAACATAAAAGGTAGCATACTATACACATAGCCCTGACCTTGCTTTTAATATTTAATATATATTTTATCATTTAATATTTTCTAGAAATCATTCCTTTTCAGTTCACAGAAAGCTTCCTCATTCTTTTTCATGGCTGCATGTATTACATTATATGTGTATGTATAATAATTTATTTGGTCATTTTCCTACTAATGGTCATTTATAAACAACGCTATGATAAAAATCCCTTTATATACACTACTTTGTAAATGTGTATTTCTAAGAAAACAATTCTTAGAAGTTAAATTGTTGGATGAAAATGAATACATATTTATAATTCTGACAGAAACTACCAAAACTAACCTCACAAGGAACAGCACTAGTTTATACTCCCTGAGTAAGAATTACAGTGTTTAGACCGACACCGTAAAAGGAATATACTCAAAAGAGCATATCGTGGGGAGTGGGAGAGGAAGGAAAAAGAGAGAAGGGAAGGAAGGAAGGAAAGAAAATGGGGAAAGAAGGGAAATGGGAAGAAGAAAGAAGGAAAGGAAGGATGAAAGAGTTAGCTTACCTTCCAAAGTCACAGAGTTTTAAAACAGCTGTATCAGGATCCAACAAGAGGTTCTGAGGTTTAATATCCCGATGGCAGATTCCAAAGGAATGGATATAGGCTAAACTTCGGAACAGCTGATACATATACAACTGGAATAAATAATAAAAATTAATTGAATACGTCCTATCCCAAGCAAATCAGAATCCTTAAGTGGTAAGTAAATTAACAGATTCTCAGAATAGTACAGGTGAAATGCTGGGGATTGTTAGCACTCAATCTTCCTTTAAGAAGTTTCATGTCATTTCTATATTAATTAGCTATTTCTAAATGAATTAGCTAATTAAAATGTCATTAACCATATATAAAAATTGCACCATTCTTTAATAACTTAAAAAAGGGAACTTCACAATGTGCTTTATAACTTTTTATTTTACTCACGTCTCACCACAAGCTAAGATGGGCTTTTTATTTAAAACACATATGAAAAGCTAAGAGAGGTATCCCAAATCATATGACTAATAAGTAACAACGTTTGCACTAGAAACCAGGTCTTCCAATTTTTAAGTTCATCATTTTTTCTAGTATATCAGGCTGCTTAATGTAAAAGTATTTCCAGTGTCATCTTTAGAATCAATTTTTTTGAGATGACAGCCTCCAAAGGTTATTGATAGAGAGGCCTAGGAAAACTCATAGATGGGCTGCGAAAATCTATAATCAATGACCTAACAAGACATCAGTAACCATGATAGTAGCATCACTTTTCCTGTTAATACCCTTCAGAAATAAGTACACTTTAAAATGCCATTTTTAAAAGTTGCCTAGCTAACTGTTGACTTCGCCTTAAAAGAAGGTCTTTTCAATTTTATTACCAAAAAGATACATGGAGAAACTGGGTCTGCATGAAAGGACCAGACTTCTGAAAGGGGAAGAGAAGAACTTTCTGGAGACAGTCAGTATATCTTAAACCTCTGTTTTTCCCAAGGTCAGTGTTCTGATTCACTTTAAAATTTTTCTGATTACTCACCTTCTGACCTCTACTGCAAAGTTATATACCATGAAAAGAATTTTTGAAATGATTCAAACCAAGATAGCAATGTCTTGGTAAAAAACAACAAAAAGATAGCTAAAGGTCAGATGAAACACTGACATATGGTACCATCTTTAGAGGCTATTGCTAAGGCTTAGGTTAATTAAAATTAACATGAACCCTACTTTCCTTCAAGAGGCATGATGAAAACTTCAGACAGCTGAATTTCAGTACATCCTTAATGTTAATTTGAACTAAAACTGGAAAAGTTTAGTTTCTTTAAAATGAAGCATGACGTAAAATGTATAGAAAATATCTTCAATAAGGTCAGCATTTTGCCCTGAAGCTAGAATTAAGGCATTTAGGTATCCATATAACTTTTTTAAAGCTTTGTAATTCTACTATTGTATCATTGTTCAATCTCCAAGTCCTGAAGCTTACTCTAAGAGTTTTTAACTCATTACCACTAACAAAATGATCTCCCATAAGAAATTGAGTTCATAGACATTAATTTACTAAAGAAGATATTCTACTATCTCTGTGTCAGGGTACTAAGGTCTAGGTCAGCAAGAATCAGTGAAAACAAAAGAAGTTTTCTTTGTAAAAAGTGCTTAAAAGTTCAAACAAAGTTAACTTTAAGATGTCTTTTTACTTTATTCTTTCATCTGAAAGATCTACACTATTTCAGTTCTCTTCACTTTAGCTTCTGAAAAGTCAAAATCAAAAATGAAATATGTAATTTTATATCTTTTGGTTGTTATTTCACTTTGTAAAAGTATACAGAAAAGTATAAGAAAGCTGAGAGGCTTTCTATACTAGGAAGACAGCAAACACAATAACAAAAAAAGAAACAAAACTTATCATGTGCCAGGCACTATTCTAAGTGCTTTACACGCATTATTTCATTTTTCCTTATAATACCCTATGTAAGTACTACTATTATTACTATTTTAAATATAAAGTAACTGAGGCACAGAGAGATTAAACAACTTGCCCATTACCACATTTGTAATATTCTATTTTATTTTATTTTATTTTTTATTTTTTTATTTTTATTTTTTTGTCTTTTGTCTTTTTTCCGTGTCCGGCAACGGATCGCAACCCTCAGTGTTGCCCCCGTACCGGACCGGGGACCGGCAACGGGATTGCAAGCCTCGGTGTTGCTCCTGCGCCTCGCTCAGCCAGTGAGCGGGAGCCGGTCTGTATGTGGGATCCGAACCCTTGGACGGGCGGCGCACTATCCAGTGCGCCACCGGGCCGGCCCCACATTTGTAATATTCTATAATCACTTGGGTACTCGTCTGTTAATTATGATTTCTTTATTTTGCCATATTTCTATTCTATTAAATAAAGGTACAAAAATACAAGCACTAAATAGTTTGATAACTAAGTAAAAAACTATTCAACTCAAGTCCAATATTCTTTCCTCTGTGCCACAGCATCTGTTTAAAGCAAATAATAGAAAAACAATTTTGTTTACGAGTCACAAAAATGCACCCAGCTCTCTTGTAATCACTGAGACCCTACCCTTACAAGTCTTTTCCATTAAAAAAAATTTAAGTTCACAACATTTTACAAGCCATCTTTTTCAGCATTGCATTTTTAAGCCCCATGTAGTTCTGCAAGATGTTCCTCAGAAAAGCAAAGGTGCTCAAAACTTTTTAATTTGTGTATTAACTATCATCAACTACAAAATGGCCAGTAGTAGAAAAGTGGTGAAGAAAGTGGTTGCAAGCAATACGGTCACAGAACATAGTCAATTCTCCCAGAAAAAGTGAAAATTAAACAATCACAAAGAAATGCAGTTGTCATTTTGGTAACATGTATGTCAAACAAGTCCTTGCTAGATGGTGAGGTCCATTAAGGCAAGAGTTACATGTATTTATGACTTTAATTTCCATCTCTCAGTCTAAGGCTTTTCATATAATAGGATCAAAATAAAACTATACAGAATGAATAAGTGAAGCAGATCAACTCATAACCCATTAATACCAGACACAGTTTTCATCTTTTCAAATCCTTAAACACAAGAATAAATTTGTGTCCCCAAAGAATTATGCGCAGAGTAAATAATTCCAACTCTGAAAGACCCGTGGTTAAATAAAAGAACCATCCCTTTTCCTACATCTTTCTTTGTATGTGAACTTCAATATGTACAATAATTTTATTTTCTTTTTTAAAATATAGAATGCCAGAGATTTAGCCCAACTATATGCGGGCAAAAAAAAAAAAAAATATATATATATATATATATAAATAATGAAGGAAAAACAATACATGTATTAATAGGTCACTAACTAACTAAATTAGGATACAGTCATATGATGGACTAATATGTAACTATAAAAAAGTATGGCCACATACATATACAACTATACAGTAATTTCCAGGATATGGTTTTCATTTTTTTTAAAAAAATGGTAGAATGAAAAGTATACCTTATGTAACCATTTATATAAAAAGGGGTAGAAAGAATAATTACACATTTGCATATTTTAAAAATGAGCCGAAAAACTATAAAAAGTTTTTAAATATTTAACTCTGGTAGAGACAAGAAACAGAGTAAAAGCTGAAATATTATATACTTTGTTTAGTAGATTTTACCTCAGAACCATGTAAATATTTTATATTAATTTTAAAGTAAAGTAAAATTAATTTTTAAAAAATTTTAAACACAATCTATAAGAAAAGAAAATTGAAACAAACATTTCTGTTTTGCAAAGGTGCCATTGCTCTGTGCTGGCAATAATAAGAGCCACAGAGTAGGTAGACCCAAACCATCATTATTCTAAACTAAATAGCTCAAAGATTACTCTAGATTACTCAGTGTATCTCAAAGGCATACACCGCTGTGCTAGATATCTAGAATAGGGTCCGTTATTCTGAAACTGGAATAAAGTACTATAGTAAATTTATAGTAGAAAACTTTGGGATTTTTTGGTTCCTACTATCATCAATTTAACCACAACCTCAACCAAGTTTTGCTAAGTCCAAATAAAATTATACTGGAATCATATTTTAATTTCTAGCACTGAATTCAACAGGAATCCTGGACTCCTTGCCCAAATGATCTAGCTACCCAAAGTCCTTATAAAACTTCTATTATTAATGTTCCTGTTTTGGTACCCATTTTATTACTGTGAAATTTAAAGTTGTAACAATTAAGCAAAACTTCAAAACTCTGAAAATAAATCATTTAGAGTCAATGCCATTTTATTTTTTAGAGTCATTTCTTTAAAGGAAAATACAAAAAAAATTGCATTTAGATATCTGAACTTTCAAACTCAACACCTAGTTAATTTTCACTATACCACAGTTAATAACACTTTGTGCATATCTAAAATTGCCAAAAGTTTAAACTTCAGCTACAGATGCAACAAATACACCTACATATGGCAATAAAACACTGAATTTGAACATGTTTATAATTATATTTTACAATTTTATATGACGTACTTCTATTTTAGTCTATGGTACAATAAGGATATCAGAAATTAAATAAAAAGGTGCTATGGCTAGCAGAATTAAAATCCATAATTATCTGTGAAAAAAGTTCACCGCAACTTACCAGATAATCTTTAATATCTGAGTTTTGAAAGTTTAAAAGATGAAGCCTTCACATTTTGAAATGGTACAATAATTTAACTAAGCTTTAACAACACCTACTTTGCAGTCTTCCTCTGAATATTAAATGTAATAAAATAAAGTTAAAACATACCCAGCACTCTTCCTGGCTCATAATAAATATTTTCTAAAATGTGACCTTGTTCCATTTTTTACATACCTTGACATAGATCACAGGGAGTGTCTGTTTGGCTCGACTATAGTGTCTGGCAACTCTGTACACTGTTTCCGGAACATAGTCCAGCACCAGATTAAGATAGACCTCATCTTTCTGAAAGAGTTTATTAAAAAACAAAAAACAAAACTGATTAGAAACTGGTCTTTAAATATTCAAATTAGAGTAAATTCTCTACACATTCATTTATTTAGATTTTTAAAGAAAAGATTCATGTGTTCAATTTTAATTATACAAAATTACTTCAGAATATAACCATAGTAAAACCAAGTCTACCATACCTTCTTACTAATAATTCCATGGGGAAAAACAGCCATTTCAATACTGTTAAGATTCTCAATCATATTTAAATTATCATTTTGGTTACCATGCTTTTAGAGACTATCACCCATCATAAAATTTCATATTTTCTAGACTAAGAATCAATGCCCTCATATCTTACCAGAAAAGGTGGCATGACAGTAAGTAGAGCGTTGAATGGAGAGCTAAGAAACATGAATTTATAGCCCTACCTCTGCTGTTAATTGGTGTGTGCAAGTCATTTAATTTCTCTAAGCTTCAGATTCTTCAACTATAATATGAAGATTGGACTAGATATTCTTCAAAATGTCTCTAACCTCCACACAAAAAGATCCTATGGTTACCTGATAGTCTACGATTAGTAGAACAAGTTCTTGTCTTCTATAATTAACTGAAATAAAAAGAATAATTTATAAGGCAGTGAATTACCATACTCAAGCTTATTACAGGTCATATGTTTAAATATCCATTCTCAGCAGCATAAAGACACCAAGCCAAGATCAGTGGAGAGAAATAAAGGAACTTCAACTAAGTACCACATAGTAAAGAGGAACAGAGCAGATACTGTTCATGTGAACAATATGAGGTTAACCCAAGCAGAAAACAAAGTTGAGAATTACTATGTTCAACTGTAGAATTGGCTAATGAGTGAGTAAAACTGTGGACAAACTTTCACAATCTCCCAATTTGAAATCATCTTACTACCACACTGAAGTGGAGAATTACAATTTTTAGCATTTATTGAGCATTTTCTAGATGTCAGTAGCCACTGCAGAGGAAGTTAAGGATGGAGGTATAAAAAGAGATGACATCTAAATTGAGTATGAAAGAAGCATTTCAGGCAGAGTGAAAATTATATTCAAGATGTGTGGTCAAAGAATACAGTAGAGCTCAGGAAACAATATAGTGAGACATCATGCCATTGACCCTAACTAACTTTTCTGTATCCCTCGCTCTTTAAAGTTCTCCTCTCTTCCCTCAATAGCCAGCTTAAATTCCATGGTCTATCGTATCCTCATTCTCTAACACACGGGTAGGCAAAAAACAGCCATGGCCTGCTGCCTATTTTTACAAATAAAGTTTTAATGGAGCACAGCCATGCCCATTCAGTTAAGTACTGTCTATGGATGTTTTGGGACTAAAATGGCAGAATTGAGGAGTTGTGACAGAGACCAGATAGCCTGCAAAGCCAAAAATATTTAAGAAAAAGCTAGTGGTTTTTCTACAATCCTGGTTAAATCCAGCTTTCTGGCCAGTCCATGCCTGTACTCAAAGAGCTGAACATGGCTGCAAAGAAGCCTACAATTGCTCTGATTGGTCTCAGGTTAAAGTCATCATCAAGAAATTCAACTGGCCCAGCAATAACTAGACTATTCACTTTCCAAACTACTTCATTTCTCCTCACCTCCTCTTCAACCTCCAACCCCCCTTCTCTGTCCTCAACCTCAGCGGATGACCTTGGTTGCACCACTACATTTACCCACTTACCAGCATCTATCCTCATCCACTTTTCCTTTAATTCTGTAAATTGAAATAACCTGCCCAGACTCCATTCCAAGGCAAACACTGGTACATGGGGGGGGGGGGGGGGGGG